CTGTTAGCTTATTTAGATGCGGAATACACTATTATTTATAAATAAATATAAAAAATCATTAGAAAGACAAAGAAAATTTTCTTGCAGGATTGCCTGCAAATCAAAGTTTGGATCCATGTTCCACGTCATTGTTCCCACCATTAGTTACATATTATCGGCTTTATAATTTGAAGACGAAGATAAATAGATATTTGATTTTTTTTTTTTACATTTCACTCTCTTTAGTCTTTTACTGTGTTATTTCTCCTAATGACAATTAGCACGTAATAGTAATTAGAACGTGATGGTTAATTAGAGTACACACCAAAAATGAGATATGACAATATGATTATATTTAAATGGGTAACATTTTGGGATGATTTTGTAACATGCGATCTAGCTCCTCATTTCGCCTCCATAATTTAGAATGTATAATTTTGACTGTTACACTATATGTTTACAAGTTTTTTTGTTTTTTTGAAATGTTACTCATATTTATGCTACTTCATCTCACTAATGGATGTTCTTGTTTAATCTAATCACATGGTTGCCACCGACCCTTTAGAGTATTCAATAAAAGTTATAAGTATGTTCTAGAGTATATGGTAAATACAATGGTGCCTCTTTAACAGAAACATAACATGTTATAAATACGGTTTGATCCTTCTAAAGTGTCTATCCAATACACGAAGCAATCAACAGATGACTTTATAGAGTTATTGCATGCAAATTTATTCGCACTCTATTTTCCCTGCTACTGCTATGCAATACTTTCTCCTTATAATATTATAAAGCAGTTTGTTTCGAAAATTTTAATGTGAATAAAATTGTTGATATGAACAAAGTCCTAAGCAACACATCTATTAATGGAAGAACTATTTACAAAAGTTAAACAACTATTTAATCAGTTGTTTAAGTACTTCCTCGTAAACAACTCAAATTTGTAACAAGATTTGAATTTCTACAAATTAAAAAATAAATAAAAAATCTTAGATTTGTTCGGTGTGTGCTTAAAATTCGTGCAAATATCGAAGTGTTCACATCTATTAATGGAAGAACTATTTACAAAAACAACTATTTAATCAGACGTTAAGTACTTCCTCGTAAACAACTCAAATTTGTAACAAGATTTGAATTTCTACAAATTAAAAAATAAATAAATAATCCTAGATTTGTTCGGCGTGTGCTTTAAATTCATGCAAATATCGAAGTGTCCAACAACTGTTGTATCTTGGACTGAGTAGCACTATAGTGCTATTTCCACGCAAAGTCTCTCGCTCATCACCATAATTTTGATTTTAAAACTAATTTTACTTTAAAAGTCTAATGTAACCTCAAATGAAAACACTAACATTCTTTTGTTATTCATTACAACTGGAGATTAATGAATAAGGTTAAAATCCCTTTCTTTGAGATGATTAATCACTGCCATGTGATTGGCTGCCTTTTAATCTAATTGCCCTGTTACCGTTATAATGGATCAGATTATAAGCAAATGCGCGTCATAGTGGTGGAGAGAGAGAGAGAGAGAGAGAGAGAGAGAGAGAAAGTCGAGTAATCATATGCACATTGCACCGTATAACTCAACATACGCATCACATTGCTCGTCTCATTCCGAATCCGAATCCGAACCCAAATCGATTTTCGAAAATCCAACGCAAGTACACAGCACAATACATCGACGTGAGGCTTATGCGTGATTTTAACTACAAATATTTTTCAAATAATCTCAAAAGGCTCGATAACCAAACTGAATCCATTTCCGAACTCTTAAATTACCGAATTCTTACAAACACTGATATAAAACTCTACCTCTCTGCTTCTCGATTTTGTTCCTCAAAAGTGTCTAAAAAGTTATATCAAATGCCATACTTTTAGTATATTCACCTATACAACTGAGGCAAGCGATAGCCGCTCATAACTATTTTGTCGGAGAACATCTTGCCGGTCTTCGGCATGACATGCCAATGCAGTGTTAAGTTAAAGTCTTTACCTCGTAAATTGCTTCCCTATGAACACACGGTAAGAAAATAAACAGAAATTAAATCAAAAAATTTGGCTAAGAAGAAATATATTAGTAAGTGCTAAAAGCTAAAACACAAGCACTCACTTGATCAATAAATCGATATTTGTTAGTTGTGTGAATCCAAAACTTTGCGTGCTCTTTCGAAGGTATAATTCCGTCCCATAATGACACCTGCGAAAATGCATTTTAGAAAATTTATAACGCAAATCAAACATATACTATGTTGCACGGAAACTTCAAGTTCTTAACAATTCCGTGTTTCTGAAACTTTTCGTGTCAGAAACTCGAAGACACCTTATGGGCCATTTTGCAATTTCTAAAAAGTTAGAAACATGTTTGAATAGCAGAATTTCAAATATTTTTGTTGTTTCCCTAATTATTTGCATGATTTAATGATCAATTGCAAATTGATAGTTGATTGTAAATTTATTTTGGATATGTTTGTATAAAAATACATAAAAAGAATTTAAATATAAATAAAAACTTATCTATGTTTATATAAAAAAAATTATAAATATACCCCTATACTTTTAATATTTACACATTTCCCCCTAGTTCCCGGAACATGCCGTTTCCCCGTTCCCCATTTCCATGTCCGTGCTACATAGAACATAAGCATAGTAAACGATGTCACTGACAACCAGAGGTACTAACATAAACATATTATAATGTTTAAACAACGACAGCGAGGACGAACGATCATTACAATATGCATACTCCACAACACAAATCAAACATAAAGTTAATGAACAGATACTAAATGGATATATAATACCTGATTAAGCATATTCTTTGGGGTTTCATACTCGGCGGCTAAAAAGACAAAGACCTGCAAAATCGAGATAATTGGTGTCACATCCAAATATGCTTCAATCCCAACAACTGACTCGAAATTCAGAAGGAAGAGGCAACAAACAGTATTTATACATTTTCATTACGTTTTTCTTTCTTCATATCTAACATTTTTTTCTGCCTTAGGGTTCTATAATGCCGCTATATAGAAACGAAAAGTAATCTTACAAACTGAAATCACCAAAACACGTAGAGAGGATATTCAGAGTGCAAAACTAGAATATTGTAAATGCAGACAAACCTGCTTTGTATTCCACGTGAACAACGACTCTAAGTTCGCTGATATATTCAACGTCAGGCTCACCTGCATAAAGTAAAATTCTTAATTAACACCAACGAAGTACTTCATATTTTTTTTAATTGTTTCTCAAAAGGGAAATGAAGAAGCAGACCACAACTCTGCATGACGTTTTTTCGTTTTTTTAGGATAAAATCAACAGCCACAGCTTTTTGCATCAGCATAAAAAATAAAACAAAACTTTTGCGTACTCAAACCAGACAGCAATGCAAATTTGCTCCCAATATTATTTACTACTCCCCAGAGCCCTAAAAGGGACAAAAGGTGGGGGTGAAGAGAACCGAAGAGTTCCGTTTTCCCAAAGTAGCAAAATTTGCAATTTTCAAATTCACTTAATTAGATGTCGATCATGTATTTTTCATCATTTAACAGTTTTAAAAGCAAGCCAGTATCTTTTTTTCCTTTTTCCTTCGAAAAAAAAAATATTAAAAGAAACTGGCTTTCTTGTTCCAGATCATGGTATAGACGCTCGTTCGACAAAGATAATATAGCAGATTAACTAACACTTCTACTTCAATAAAAACAAGTGTAATTCGTTCACATAATAATATCAGTGCAACACTCTTTATCTCCTATCTTAGGCAGACTACAAACTGAAACCAAAAGAAACATAGACCAAGATAACGTGATAGAGATTACATCAACTAATCATCCCCTAATTAAAAATCAGACTTAACCCAACATGTGAACCATATATCGAAGATGTTTACTCCAAGGATTTCTTTAACTCATAGGGAGATAACTCATTCAATTTCCTCGTAACTATATTTAAATTTTAGGTGGTTTCCTTTTTTCTTAGGAGAGATAGTATCCGTTCACTTAGACAGTCGCAGTTTTCTTGATTTACAGTTCCTCCAGATTTCTATATAAGAGACTGTACATATGCTTTGAATCGAACAAGAAACAAGATATGGTTATAAACAAACACCATTATCATCTTCTTCGTGGTATCAGAACCAAATCAACGACTATTCATGGCATCAACAGTTCAACCCTATCCTTATTCATTACGATCACATGAAATTTGTCGATGGAGCCTTTCCTCGTCCCTGATCAACTATCGATACAACTACTGGAACAACCCACAACCTTAGCCATAGTCAATGGATTTGTCAGGATCAAATTGATGTTTCTGATGCGATAATAGACTGTCTCATGCCCTCAATTGAATCGTACCACAAATTCATTCTGTCTCCTTGTACTTATCTTTTTAGATAGCTTTATTATTCTTAGCCTAGACTGAATCCTTTCGTTCAGGTAGTTTCTTAGTGTCCTTAGCCTACAGATCCTCCATCTATTTAAGTTATTGCGCGTGTTGTGTTCTTTGAATGAAACAAGAAACAATATATACTCCTAAGAAACGAAATAAGGTATACTTCTACGGAACACCATAATCTTTTTTCCCCCAAACGCACAACAAGAATTCGAGTGATTTAGTTTTATAATTATACTAATCATAAATATAATTAGTTTTACAATTACATTTTCCCTTTTCCACAACTTGAAACTCTTATAATACATTAGTTTTATAATTATATTAATCATAAATAAATTTATTTCACCGCCTTCGTAATCACAACATACTCATTTTCATTTTCAAAACAGACAAGAGATCCTTCAATCTAAGCAAATAGGCTGAAATTATTTAATTAATTAGTTAATTAATTACCTCGTCATCACCATCCGGTTTCTTCTGGAACCAATTGATGTTCAACACCTAAAAAAAAAATTAAAAAAAAACCCCAAAAGCATTTAACATATTAGGGTTTAAACAAACACAAAGAAAATCAAACCCATCGACACAAAAGAAGAATAATAAACGAAATTGAAGAAAATACTATTTTGCATAAATAAATAAATTAAAGTTTTACCTGGACTTGTGAAGTGGGCGACGGCGAATTGAAGTTGTCCGAGACAGAGGCGATGGCGCACATTAGCGCGAGAATGGTGATGGCGAAGGTTAGCAAAGCGTTAGCTCTGTACCCAAAAGAATGCATTTTGATTGCCCTTTTTGAATTAAGCAAAAAATCTGGAGCTTAAAAACCAGAGATTTTTAGTGTTGAAGAAGAAGAGTGGTGGGGGTTATGACTTTGGTGAGACTCGTCGCACAATCGCATTTATGCTTTGGATCTCTGTTTTTTGCATTTATAATTTCCTAAAATCTTATTACCGCTGTCGTATTCATTTTATATTTAATTCGATTTTCCTCAATTTTATTTTCCTCAATTTTAAATTTTAATAAATGAACCAACCCTCATTAGGAGAGTTGGTACCTAGCCTTTACCAATAGGGTAATGGTCTAGGGTTCGAGTCCCCCCCTCCCCTACTTCCCCTTGTAATGGACTTGAATTTACTCAAAAAAAAAAAAAAAAAAATTTTAATAAATGAAAAGGGATTTGTTTTTTTTTTAATATGTTTTAAGAAAATAATTTGAGGACGAGGATGAAATTAATTGTTTGTATCTTGAGATGAGATAAAATACACTCTAATAAAAAAATAATGTTTAGTAGGGTTGGTACAGTTCGTTTTTTGCAATAAACCAAACTAGTACCGATAATATCAGTTTTTCATATTTTAAGAAACGAACAAGTCATTTTTTTCCGATTCTGTGTGAATCGTTTTCGGTATCAATTCGGTTTATTTTCGGTTTCGGTGTCATCTATCGGTTTGGCATAATACCGATATTTGATTAACAGTGAATTTGAATTTTCATTACATTTGTTTGAGAAAATTAACAAATAACAATCCAAAATTAACTAATAAAAAACATGTCACAATCCAAAATTAACTAATAGAAAACATGTCACATGGAGGCGCTCGAAGGATAAAGGCGCGCTAGGGGAAGACGGTAAATATTTATACTATATATCAAAAGGACGTCGTTTTGTATAAATCGGTTATGCTCGTTAATTTTTTTATTCTTCATGCACAAATGGATATTTTCGGTTTTTCAAAAAAGAATTACTGTACATGCGGTTTTAAGTTGGGACGGTGCATATCGGCTCGGTTTTTTTGGTTTTCGGTTCGATTCTTTGGTTTCTCGCTTTTTTTGCTCACCCCAAATATCTGGAAAATATCTATTAGAAGAGAAATATTATAAAAATATTTTTAGCGAACACGTTTCTATTGTAGCAGTAAAATCTTTCTTACAGTAGCAATCAAATCATGTTTGGACGGAGGGAACCAATTAGATAGACGAGCTGGACTACGATCAATATGTCAAGGTATATAAGCTTTTCGAAAATCGTAAAGATACTTGTTACTCCAAGCTACGATATCAGCCGTAGTAGTACTCTTTGCAGATCTATAAATCTCAAAATTCAGAATGTACCAGGCCTTCCGGCACACTATTGCAGCGTGTTCAAGATCCTCCCGACTAAAGTTCGCATAAAAAAGGATAATTTGTATGTGTCTCTATCAACAACAAACGTTGTGCACTCCATATAAATTTCAATGGATCGCAAATAAGAGCAATATGGAGCGCCGATTTGTGCTCATTTTGACAGCGACTACAAAATCGATTTGGTACAATATTCCGGTGATATAGCTCCACCCTCGTAGAAGGGATATCGTTAGTTCGTTACATGCTATGCAAATGAATACTCGAACTTTCGCAGGAACTTTTATACGCAGATAAAATCTCCGCTTCTGTTTACTATTCCACTTCGATTTCCCCCATTAATACCTCCCATACTGATCAACCATAGGTGGAATACTGAAATAATTAAGAAGATCTTACACAAAAGTTTCCATTTTTTTT